GGTTAACTGGATATGGGATTTTTCATTCTGAACTTAAAGATGCTGTTTCCTGTCTTCTTGTTTGTTTTTTCTAATAAGTTAACAGTTACTCTTATCATTGACATTCTTGTATGTGTCTCTTCTGGCTGCTTTTAATATTTGATTATTTTTGGTTTTCTAGAGATGGCTGTCTTTATGTTTATTCTGCTTTGGGTTCATTGAGGTTTTTTTTTTTTTTTTTTTTTTTTTTAAATCTCTGGGTTGATAATTGTCATCAAACTGGAAAAGTTTCAGCTCTGAATTGTTTCATGCCCTTAATCCCTCTTTTCCTTCTGAGATCCAAATACATGCAAGTTAGAATTCTTTACCTTTTCTCACAGCCCTTTTCCGAGGTGCTGTTTTTTCAATTTAGTCTTTTTATCTTGCTGTGCTTCAGTTTGATCCTTTGCCTGGCCTCTAGTTGATTATTAAACCTAACTGGTGGATTTTAAATTTCATGTACTGTATTTTTCCATTCTAGAAGCACTTTGTATTTCTCATTTCTCTGCTGAGTCTCCCAATCTGTTCACTAGTTATGTTTAACTTTTCATTTAAGTCCTTGAACATACTTACATAGAGGTTTCATTGTCCTTGTTTGATAATTTTACCATCTGCATCACATCTATTTCTCTTTTCACATTTTCCTGTTCCCTGTGTGGTAAAGTTTTATTATGAGCTGAATATTGTGGATGCTAGTCAGTTCTTGAAACTCTACATTTTACTGTATTCTTTTAGAGAATACTGACTTTTGTCCTGGGAGGTATTTATTGGTGGGTCAACTTGAGTCATGTCCTGACTTCTGTTTAGGCCTTTTGGAGGCTGATTTAAGGTGAATACCATCTGAAATTGTAGCCCAAGATCTGGGTTGTTTTCCTTGCTTCAAGAATCACAGCCTTGTTTATTTTCTGTGCCTGATAAGTTGCTTCATGTATTTTGTCCAACTCTCTTATACTGTATACTTTATTTCATGGGCTTCCACAGCAGGAGGGGAGGTCAGATGCCCATTATTCATGGCCAGAACTAAAAGGGGTGTTGGTATTTTTCCTGTCTCTAATTGACTCTGATATGCATTCGAGGCTAGTAACTTGCTCAGAATTCAAGGTTTCTCAGCAGCATCACTATGGACATACAGAGCTGGGTTAAGGAGCTGTCCTGTTTATACACTGTAGCACAAAACTGTCACAGGTTGAGAAACACTATACTAGCAGAGTAGATCACTGCATACCTTTAACCCCTGCTACTGAAAGTGTGCTGAGCCAGCCAGCTGCACTGGCGTTACGTGGAGCTTCTCAGAAACACAGACTCTAAGGTCTCACTCATGTCAGACCTTCTGAATGAGATCTGCATTTTAACAAGATCCCAAGATGATTTGTATGCTTTTTCTAATGTTTGAAAAACTATGCCAAAGATCAGACTTTTTCTTACAGAGCCAGATAGTAAATATTTTAGGTTTACAGCCTAATCTTTGTCAGAACAATTCAACTCCACCACTGCAATATAAAAGCAGCCATAGACAATACATAAACAAATGAGCGTGGCTGTGTTCCAGTCTTTATTCACAGAACAGGCAGCTCGCAACATTTTTACAGCCCATGCCACAGGTTCTTTTCTAAGCAGATCACTCAGTGCGCTGAAGACAACTGGTAGTTAAATCCTTAAGTGAGTGCTTTCCCATTTGATACTAGTTGTTGTCGCTTACAGAGAGACTGGGTATGTGGGTTACATAATAGACAATTCTATCTTGAAATTTTAGTAGCTTGATTTCTTTTCTTACCTTGATGGGGTGTCATCCATTTCCACATTTAAGTTATATGTAAATGCTACTGAAGTTAGCTTACCAGTGGCCTCAGCCTTTAAAAATAGACAATTTGATGGCATTCTCTCTTTTTCATTGTGGAAGAACAATGCTTGAGTCCACAGGCGTAATTATTTGCACATTTTGCCTTTAGCAAATAAAGCTGATAAAACTTTTTTTTTTTTAAGTAGGCTCCATGCCTACATGAGGCTTGAACTCATGACCCTGAGTTCAAGAGTCACATGCTCTACCCTGGGCTAGCCAGGTGCCTCTAAAGTTGACAGAAATTTAGGAAAATTGTGAGTGTATCTTTATTGGCTCTCAGGTAGTAAAGAGTAATTTAAAGTTAGTTATTTGACTCTCAATAGTTTCTTCTAAGTAGAAGAGCTAAAGTGCCTTTAAGACATCTATTTTGTTTTATATACCTTATGTAGAAGTAACTTATCTTCTAAAACTCTGTATCCTTAAAGTGACTTTTGTGGGGTAAAAAAGGCTCTTTGAAGAATGGTTGTTTAGAGGTCAAGAAGGTAGCTATCGTGAAGAATGATGGTACTACATCAAATGAAGATTGAAATATTTTGTCTTGTTTATAAATTTCTTCTCTTCCAAGTTACTTGATAAATGGTACAAGGAGAGGGCAGGCCAGGACACTGAAGTAAAGCAGAAACAGAACAATCTCCAACAAGCTGAAAACAGGAAACTGATTCTCGGAGCTTTGGCCAATAGGAATGATGTTAAAAAACATTTAAGAAATTTCTGGAACTTGCATGTATCAGTATCTGTTCAGTCCATAGTGGTTGGTCTGTTCCTGGAGCATTCAAAGAGATATGCCACAGTATCCACCCTGGGGCAGTTTCCTCTGGTTAGAAATAGCCTGTTCCCTTACCAATATGTGGCATGTATATTGGGTAAAGGGTGCCATATCATGATAAATGTTGGGAATCACTGTATTATTTTTAAATCTTTTTAAATTTTTTATTGTGGCAAATTTTGCACACATGAAACTTACCTCAACTGTAAGGTTTAGTAGTGCCAAGTATATTTATACTGCTGTATAACAGATCTCCAGAACTTTACATCTTGCAAAACTGAAACTCTAGACCCACTAAATACCAACTCCCCTACACTTTGGCAGTGTAGTAAAGTAAGGTAGTTACCTTTTTACTTTGTTATTTTGACTACTTTAAATATTTTGTATTAGTGGAATTATATATGTCCCTTTGTGACTGGCTTATTTTGCTCTGCATAACGTCCTTAAGGTTCATCCATATTGGAGCAGGTGGCAGGATTTCCTTTAAGGTTGCATAATATTCCATTATGTTTATACCACACTTAATTTATCCATTCATCTACCAATAGATATTTTTCCCTCTTGGCTACTGTAAATAATGCTATGATGGGTGTACAGATATGTCTGCAAGAAGTTAAATTGAATTCTTTTGAATATATACCCAGAATATGGTAATCCGACTTTTAATGTTTTGAGGAACTTTCTGTATTGTTTCCCTTAATGACGGCACCATTTTATAGTTCTACCAAGAGTATACAAAGGTTTCCAGAAATTTTCACCATTTGTTACTTTCTTGTTCTTTGGATACCAGCCATCCTAAAAGAGGTAAGATGATCTCTCACTCTGGTTTTGATTTGCATTTCTCTTACAATCCGTGATGCTGAGCATCTTTTCATACGCTTTTAGAGAATCGCCTATTCAAGTTTTCCTTACATATTCTGGATAGAACTCCTTTATCAGATAAGTGATTTACAGAATTTTCTCCCAATCTGTGACTTGTCTTTTAATTTTTTAAAATGATGTCCTTTGAATTTAATATATGACAACTATTTACCTAACCCTAGGACACAAAGATTTTGTTTTTTCCTAAAATTTTTAGATTTTAGCTATTTTATTTAGGTCTAGGTCTACACTTTTTGTATAAAATGAGGTAGAGGTCTTTTTTTTTTTTTTTAAATCTTTCTGCAAGGATGTCTAGTGGTCTCTGTATCCTCGTCAAAGATTATCTGTTCCCACTAAATTGCCTCGGTACATTAGCTGGAAACCAGTTGCTCATATACTGTCTGGACTTCTCTAGCTTTGTGGTCAGTTTTGAAATGGAGAAGTGTGTCTTTCAACTCTGTTCTTCATCAAGGTTGTTTTAACTATTTTCAGTCCTTTGCATTTCCAAAGCCTGCTAGGATTCTGAATGAGATTGTGTTCAATACTATAGATTGGTTTGGGGGTGGAAATTTTTTTTGTTGTTGTTGGACAGTAATTGCCCTATGCAATCACAGTTCCTGGCTGGAGTTGCTAAGATCTGAGTTCACATATACTAGATCCTTGCTATGGGTCAGGTGCTGACTCTTCCTAAGAAATAGTTGCCTTATGGAATTCCACAAATACCTTATTTTTCTGAATTTACTCATTATGAAGATATCCATTAAGTAGATACCTACTTCCAGAGGTAGACTGCTTGATCATACGTGCTGTATAGTGTGTTCCAAGTCCCTACCAAAGTACAAGGTTAATGTTTATCTTCATGAGACTCTGGCAGAATCTCTTCACAAATTTTGTCATACACTTCTAGACATTCCAGCTCAACACTGTATTATTTGTAGAGCCTGCTTGTTTCCTTTTTGGCTAGGAGACTAGAATGAGCATCTTTTCTTGGATCAACTTTCAGGACAAATAAGGATTTTAACCAGCTGTCTTCTCAAGGTCTGTTATTGGAAGACATCATTCTCTGGAGCCTGGGCAGGAGACTGCTCTGAGGACGTGGAGCACTGCCCCCACCATCTTGTTCACTGTCTTGGCTCCCTTGGAATCACTAATTATTAATGACCGAAAAGCTTTCTAATTATGACTGTCTTGCCCATCGAAGATTAAGCCCAGTTTTTTGTCTTGCCAAGAAAATTTAGTTTTCATATTTCATCATATTTTTAGAGGATAAATTACTTAAGAGACAGCCTATTTCCTGATTTAAAAGGACCAATCAGTTTAACTAGATTTCAGTTGCTTAATGTGGTAAGTACTTTTGTAAACTCTTATAATGTAAGATCCAGGACCTAAACTTCTCAGGAAAAATATACAAAAATTTGTTCTTTTTATGTAACATGTTATATTTAGTATTCTTACAGAATACAAAAATACTAGGATAACTCAAACCTAACAATATACATATTTTTCTTTCTATAGGAAAGCACAAGAAGAAGACAGAAGTACTGTAAATCTCAAGAAATTCTGAATGAAATAAAAAGTTCTCCACAACAATCCAGCAGCATACAATTCCCCAATTCATTTTATGAATCCCATCAAGATTCTGCCAGTCCAGACATAGTCAATAATTTGAGATCTTCATCTTGGTATACATATACTTCTACAACTGGTATGGAGATAACAGACTTTACTCTTAGTGAAGAGATGAAGGCAGACATGTATTACTATGGCTTCATCATTCTTTTTCTTTTGACTTTAGTATGTCTTGCTTTATATTTTCTATGACGATATCAAATAAAATCCTTTTGATAATTTTTAAAGTTGCCAGTTCTTCACAGAAATGTTACATTCTTATTTCAGGATTTCCTTCCAGACATTTTCAAGGTAATTGGCTTGTAAAAAGAGAATACATTTTAACACAGTAAGTTTGTGGACATTCTAAAAGTAAGATTGCTTTATGCTAGAAAATGGGTGTCATGATACACTTTGGAAAATACTTTTTTGGCCGAAGGAGCAATTTAAAAAACAATGTTATTCATATTCAGACAATTTTATTTTATTATATTTTTAAATATATCTAGAAGAACAGAAGTAACAAAATGTTTAAGATAGATATGTATGTAGTATATCAGCTTACCTTCCAGAACATGTTACTACAAGCTAGGCACACTTTATGAAATGTGATTAATGGTTTTCTTACCTTGCTACAATATGGGCATTCACCAAATATGATGTTAAAACTCTGTCTACTAGTCGGTAGTCCTCTCAACCACTGAAGATTTTAAAAAGAGAAGATAAAGGGAGAGTGTCAGCATGACTACAAATTACAGATACTCCAAGTATTATTTCCTTTGAATACTTATATTTTTATTCCCAAACATTGACCTTCTTAATTTTCTTTTAACAAAAAGTAAGGGGAACATTTCCTAAGCCAATACCAGACTGGTAATATGCTGAACAACAAGGGAGACCAGCATGGATTTCAGGGTTTATACCACTGGTTTATAGCTAAATTATAGGTCCCTTTATGTACTTTCTCAACCCCACAAGACACAAAAATAATGCACACAAGTCCATGGTGTTCATAGACCCCACCTAAAATCATTACAAATTAAGAACTCCTGCTGTAAAAGATACCACAGGCTCTAGAATATTTAGGTCTTAATCACCAATAATGGGTTAATTCTCAATCCATTAATTAGAAGCATGAGGCAATCCATTTTTAAAAATCAAATGAATATTCATTATTACAAAAAAAGCACATGTTCCCTTAAGAATATCTCCATAATTAGACTTGATATTTAATGGTTTTATATAAGGTAAATTGACCTCTCCAAGTTCTCCATTGTTAACACTAACTGATAAGCGCAAAGATGGTAGGTGATATTAAGGAAGACAGGAAGCACTATACAACTGAAAGGTGCTCTATATAATCAAGTCAACTATGCACCAAGAGGAATGCTATAGAGATCAAGTGACTACACAGGAATGAAAGCAGACTTCACATATAGTAAATAACAGTAAATAAAATGTCACTGAGAGTCCTATCACATTTTTAGAGCATAAAATACATTTTTCTCAATATCAAAAGATTATTATATTTATTCTATACTTAAGCCTACTCTGAAAAGTAATAGATACCCAATAGTGCTACTTCCCTTTCACCTTATTGCCACTACTACTCCCTCTTGGATGAGTCTACAGAGTTTGCCTTGGGTTACAGGAGGCATTAAACAGTCCAAGGTACCACTGATTTGATTTGTTAGCATCAGTAAACAGTCCATGAATATATTCTGGATACATTTTCTCCTTTCTTGTGATACTTTAGGACGTTTCTTCACTTACTAGTAACCAGGATGAAGAAATAAAAGCACATGGGCATCTGGAAATGAACTGGTAAAGGGGCCAATGGCAAAAGAGATCACCATTCAGTAAACAGAATTTAGACTCTGTGTATTTCAAATAAGCATACTCCCTATGTCATGGTAGCCAAAAAAAGTCTTGCCAAGGTTATTTTTATTTTATTTCTACCTCATATAAGCATATTTGATGGAAAGGCTGTCCACACTGGGAGTTATCACACACTTGATCAGGAATGGCGCCATCAAGCTGATAGGCATAACAAATCCCACAATCCATAGAAAAATCCTTCAAAAGAAAATATTTATATGTGTTTAAAACATACAGGTAACATAAGAGTGAATATGGTATAGATAAATATTAACTTTTTATAAAGTTTTTTTTTTTTTTTTTTTTTTTTTAATAAAGGTAGCTATATGACTGCTTAACACCTTGGAAAAGCTATTGCTAAGAAGAGTGCTTCCTTTTTCATCCAGTAAGTAATGCACACAGATATACTCAAAACAGATTCTATTTTGGGCTTAGGTAATTTTTCCATATTGTACTTCAGTATAATGCCACTGTAGTATGTAAAGAGAACTGACATTTGATTACTAAATTTCAAAATTCTGTAACTAAAGGAATTAAAAAAAAATCCCTACCACTTTAACCGTCTGCAACCCCAGCTGCTTTATCAAAAATCAATTCTAAGGTTATTATTTTTGCAACATAGTAATGTCTATTCATTTTTAAAAAACTGTACTGCCACCTTTCACAAATAACATCTAGTTAATTAAAACTTTATTTCAATCATCCATAAGTAGATAGTAACAGAATATCCAAACATCTCATTAGCTACTTTGGACCTTTCCCCCTATTTTTAATAATAAAGATGTCTGTCATTAATCACTTTATTGCTAAGAAGACCATGAAAAAAGTATACTTAAACCACTAATCAAAGGTTAACAAGTTCTTTGATGCTACTGTTGCTTGCAGTTCAGAAGTCTGTTATAATATTCTTCCAACTCCCTCCCTTTCAGCCTCATTTTTCTCTGGTGTCTAAAAGAAGAACATTTAACTTTCATTATGCTATGCTGTTTGGAATATCAAAGCACTGATAAAACTTACAGATTTTTCCAGGTTAGCACGAGCTGGAAAATCTATTTCTAAAACATCTTTCAAGTTTTGTAACAGACTATTTTCTGGATCCCTGAAAGCATGAAAAAAAAAATGTGTTGTTAAATTTGCAAAATAGAAGAAGAACAATTGTATTGCAGAGATACCTACCACAAATGTATGTTCCTGCTCAGCTTAATTCCCAGAGGTTTTACCACTTCAGATATTAAAAAAAAAAAAAAAGTTTAATAATTTAGCGTCTGCCGCTCTCACTTTTTAAAGACATTAAACACAGAATTTTTATTTATTTTTTTTTTTTACTGAGCTATAATTGGCATATAACATTGTATTAGTTTTGGGGTTACAACATAATGATTAGGTATATGTACTTATTGCAATACACTCACTACAAAGGTTAGTTAACATATCACCACTTATAGTTACAAAGTTGTTTTTTTTTTTATGAGAACTTTTAAAATCTATTCTTAGTAACTTACAAATATAAATAAATTCAGAATTTCCTAATTACTTGGCTGGAAAATCTAAATCATATTTTTTAAACACCACAAAATTACATAGTTCAGAATATTTTCATTTAAAATGATTACCAATAATTACTATTTCAGAATATCTTAACAGTGTGAGATAAGAATTTTATGACCCTGTTAAAAACATTTAAATGTGAGATCTCATACCATGGTCTGCTCCAAGAAAGCAGTACTCAGGAAGCATACTAGGATGCCTGGGGTCAACCTCTATATTTATTGAAGCATTATTTCCTAAAATAAAAGAATATTGAAGTTTATAGAAGTAGAAAAGTTCATCAAACAAAAAATAAAGAGGCATCTATCTGGTACTTACTATACCAAATGATTAGCCAATGTTTTATAGTTTTTGTATATTAGTAGTTTACAGTCTAAGAGAAATAAATTTTGAAATTATGATTATGACTAAAGATTTGGGGATCCACCCAAAGTTTCAAAACACACAGTCAATCCACTGAGTTACTATAATTTATACTAGAATTCTGGTCAGAATTCTATTATACATTAAAAAGTTATCTATAGAGTGATAAAGATCTTTAACATTAAAAGAAATCACAAGATTAGGAAATAGTTATCTAAATGACTCCCATGACTTTCTTGAAAAGCAGAACTGTGGTCAAAAATTAAAAGACCAGAAATACAATAAATGGTAAAAACAAACATGTTTATGGCTTTTTATGAAGTTTTATCAAAACATTTTCTAACAATAATCACTTTCAATGTAACTGGACTAAATTTTCCAATCTAACAACACAGGGTTTCAGAATGGAGTTAAAAAAACCAAAACACAAGACCCATCTATATGCTGCCTACAAGAGATTCATTTTACACTGAAAGATAGCTGCGGATTGAAAGGGAGGGGGTGGAGAAACACTTGTCACACAAATGGGTATCAAAAGAGGGAGTAGCCATACTTACATTGGACAAATGACTTTATTTTCTTTAAATTCAATCATTATACAATGTATTACTAGTTTCAGAGGTAGAGTTTAGTAAGTTATCAGTTGCATATAACACCCAGAGCTCATTACACCAAGTGCCCTCCTTAATGCCCATCACCCAATTATCCCATCCCTTCACGCCATCCCTTCCAGCAACCCTTAGTTTTTGTTTCCTATGATTAAGAGTCTCTTACAGTTTGTCTCCCTCTCTGATTTCATCTTATTTTTCTATCCCTTCCTTTATGATCATCTGTTGTTTCTTAAATCCCACATATGAGTAAAATCATGATAACGGTCTTTCTCTGACTGACTTCACTTAGCATAATACCCTCTAGGTTCCATCCACAATGTTGCAAATGGTAAGATTTCACTTTTTGATGGCTGAGTAATACTCCACTGTATTTATATATACCACATCTCTTTATCCTTTCATCTGTTGATGGACACATCTGGATTCTTTCCATATTTTGGCTGTTGTGGACACTGCTGCTATAAACATCAGGGTGCATATTCCCCTTCAAATCACTGTTTGTATCCTTTGGATAAATACCAAGTAGTGCAATCGCTGGTCATAGGATAGCTCTATTTTTAACTATGGACAAACTAGACTTTAAACCAAGACTGTAATAAGAGATGAAAAAGGGGACAATCTAACAAGAACATCTAACAACCGCAAATATTTATGCACCCAAAGTAGAAGCACCCAAATATATAAAACAATAACAAACATAAAGGAACTAATTGATAATAACAATAATAGGGGACTTTAACAACCTACTTACATCAATGGGACAGATCATCTCAACAGAAGAGCAACAAGGAAACAATGGCTATGAATAACACA